TTCGTATCTGATCCTTGGTGCAGTGGTTATGGCACCGGCCCTTTAACCGAAGGGTCTCGGGTTCAAACCCCGGTCAGGTCACTATAAAAATTTTATTCAATATTATATAACTTAATATGCAATACTAATAAATATGATACAAGTAATTTTCAAATATTTATAATATTCGATACTAAAAAAACTAAGAAAAATAAACAGTAAATAATAATAATCTCAAATAATTAATATAAATAAAACTACGGCAGGCTAGTCACCTACCTAGCTAACTCTCTATGACTATAGAAACTAGGGCATGATAGATATCATGCACTAGCCCTATTCCTCCTAGGAGTGAAGAAGGGAAAAAAAAAAAAAATTTTGAATTCGTATAGTATTGCGTTCATGAACAGAAGAGTGGAAAATTCTATTTCAGGAAAAATAAACATTAAGGAAAACAAAAATAGAAAACTAAAACAAAAAGAAATTTTGTTATGTTTAAGTAAAATAATAATTAACGAATTCCTAAAAAAACTGCAAAAGTAAAAAAAAGTGCAGCTGATTTAACTGCGCTAGCCATGATAATTAAAATATTTTTGTGATAGGTTAGCAATGTTTATTAACAAATTTGATTAGCAACATTTGTTTATGAACACAAATATAGCGCAGTTCTCGCTATATATCGCGATTTACTGAGTTTATGGAAAGGCCTATTATTGCAACTAAAATTAAATCTGTCTTTACTCTTTATAGTTGCTTTCAAAAAATGTGAATTAGTTGATGTTAATTAAAAAAACATAATTAGTTGAAAAACATCAAAAGTTAGTTGAATTTATATAGAACAATATTAACAACTCAAACCAAAAAAACACGAAAATACAAGAATAATAATTTCACAAAAATTTTTTTCTGCCAGATATAACAAACTGTTTCTTATTATTCCAAAATTAATCTTTACGATATACATAAATATTTTTTTAAATGATAACTTTTTAATTTATACACACCAAAAAAATTTTATCTAAATTAGATATTTTTATACCCGTACGAACATATGTTTATCGTTTGTAATGCTAAGAAATAATGTTCTGAGATATATGCTCAAGTATATTATGTTTTTGATCAGCGTCGAATTCTGAGTCAATTTAGCTTTGTTTGTCCGTCTGTCCCTTCATCCGTCCGTCCCAATGATAACTCAAAAACTTATTGAGGTAAGTGCTGGAACCCTATTTAAATTAGACATGATCGGAGTACTGGTTTGGGTAGCTACAATACAACTTCAAAATTTATTTGTAAAAGCCAAATACCAAATTTCAATACCAAATTTTATTTCGTATTGAAATTTTACACAATCGAATATATTAGTAGCATCAATGTGTTTGATAAATGTCGTTGAAATCGCTTAGCTCTTTCTGGTAGCAGCCATACAACTTAAATAGTAGTTTGGCCATATCTTAATAAAAATGGAAAACACAGTACTGAAATTTTGCATAAATTAATATGGTAATACGGCAACTTAAGGGCATAATCTCTCCCATAGTCAGCTATGTCATATTTATGCGCACATAGGATGACAAATTCGTACCGGTATCACAGAGTTAGCAAGGTCAACTCTATTTTTTTTCTCGTTTATATAATTACAGCAGACACAAACTATATTCGAAATCACGACAACCTTTATTTCAAGAAAAACTTTATAGCTAATTTTGAAATAAATGTATTTTAAACAAAATTCAAAGTAGTTTTAGAAATATAATGTTTTCAAATTAGTTATACTTTTGAGCGGTTTATGAAAATAAATTATCTAGTTAGAATAAAAAATATTTCTGAATGAAAGTTTTTTTAAAAGTTTATTTTATATTTATTAGAAAAATTTTAATATTACTTTATATATATTTTCACTTTAATAATACTTTATAATATTAATGTTACGAGTATATATCTTTTGGTATAAACAGTAATATATGACTAGCTTCCTGCAATATTTATAATTTACTTTTTAAGATAATTAACAATTACTTGATAGCTGTACTCCATTTACATTTTTATATATTATTATATAAATATATGACATATGTGTGTGTACATATACATATATTTATGTTATAAGACGACTCACTTGTTGCGATTAGTGACTTGTGATTTGTTTCTTGTATTTCGGCCATAAAATAGGACGAAAGCAAATATTATTGAATCTAAATGAAAACTATTTTATGGGTAATATTTACATATAAAGTATGTATACGTATTGTTATATTGCAACAAGTTCGGCATAATTTTCATGGCATGTTATACAAATAAATTCGTTCTCATTTGCTAATGTTTTCACTTAAATACCGATAAACTTATGTTTATCAAAACATTTTTTTTTAGCTATATTTTATTTTGCAAAACAAAAAGTGCTATTGTCAAAAGAGCTATTATTATATGGATTATTTAGGAAGTTGCTATGAATTGAAATAATTGTAGCCCATTTGACTATGAGAAGCATAGTTATATCATATAAAGCTGAAAATTATTTCTAGTTTAATACTCGTATTTTATTTTCAAAGGAATATGACCTTCGGTTTATAACCATGAATATTTTTCTATTTAGTTCAGCAGGTCTTCATGGACCACTGAGACTCTATATAGACCCCCAGGGGTTCATGAAGACCTGCTAGGGGTCTACGAAGGTGGAAAAAAAAATTGCGGGTATAATAAATGAATCTGGGTGTCTACCAAATGAAAATGTGGGCTTTATTTAATGAAAAATTCCCTTTAAGAAAGGCAATATGCTACTTCATCGATAAACCAAAAATTCATTTGTTTCATTTGTTTCACTTTTCATTTCGCTTCTTCTTTCGTTTAAACTTCCACTTTTGAACTTCACATTTTTTGTTTAGTTCTTTTATTAAACGTAAAAATTACATTACTTAAATTTAATAACAAAATTGTTTAAATTTAATAAAAAATGTGAATTTAATTAAATAAGTTTTTTATTTAACTTTCTCACATCATAGGTGTATTTTGCTACTTTTAGAAATTCAAATATATCAAAGAAAGTATCAGGGGTCTATCAAAAATTGAAAAACACTACAAGGGCTCTACGAGAGGAAAAGTTTGGGAACCTCTGATTTAGTTATTGTATAACGGTAAATTAAACCTAAAATATACGAAAATGTTGAGTATTTTTTGAATATTCAGATTTAAAAAGAATCAAGAAATAATGGAAACGAGAAAAACTACAATTTTTTGCGTCAACTCTGTAATATATGTACGAATAACAGTCATTATAATAGTTGGAAAGGCTTCTCATACGGGTAACATTAACATTTTTATAGAATATTGCTCCTAAAGTGACCTTTAAAATTTAAGATAAATAGTTGATCAACATTTAAGTTTGAATTAAATTTAGTTTAATCATGAGCTCATTTTACATTTTTGTTCATATTTCTGAGAAAATGGACAGTAGTTTTTCTTGAAATAATTTCAAACCTTTATTACGAGTCAAATTTAAATTTTACAACATACAACAATAATCCAAAAATACATATTTTTTTGAAATTTTATTTTTAAGTGTCTATTTGTTAAAGCAATAAACTAAAAAATTTTATGTAAATAAATATCAGAGAAATAGAAACAGCTTTTGGATTTTTCATCAGATATATAAATAGAATTTTGAAATTTAATAGTATATGAGTTTAGTTTAATAATAGAACTAGCTGAAAAATGTGTCTAATTTCAGTAAAATTTTATTATTCGCAATCTTGTTTGAACCTTTTCACAACAGATTTTTTGAAATTTTGCAAATATAGTTCAGACAATATACGCTTCCTGCTTGGACTGACCGTATAAAATTTTTTGCAAGAAAGTACAAAACTGCAAAAAATTTGATTAGAATTATGAAACTATAATCCAATTTTGAAAACAATAAATCACGTGTGCATGTTTTGTCGTGTAGTTGGTTAAACTGCAACTTCGACCAAGTCCTTATCTGTTTTGGTTTTCATCATAAAACCTTTGTAAAAACGTGGTTTAAACCTTAGCTCTGTCGAGCTCTATCTATATTTAAGCTATCACTAGGGCAGAATGGAAGGGTTAAATCATTTCAGAAGTTGACACTGGGTAAGAATATACATAGTGTATATGCGCGTTCATATCTCAGACTTTTATTTTTTAGCGTTACTAACATATATAAAGTTACAAACATATTAAATATAGATACAGTTACCGCGTTATCATATTAATTTATGCAAAGTTTCGGTAGTGCAATTTTAATAGTTTCTAAGATATGACTAAACAACTATTAAAGTTATATGGTATTTCAACGACTTTTATTAAACATAACGGCTCTAATAATATACTTGTTTTCACGAAATTTCTATGCTTCAATATAGAAATTTCACGATAATTGATAATGTCAAAAAATTTTTGAAATTGCAAGGCAGCTACCACTGTCTAGATCACGTCCATAATTTAAATAGCGTCCAGCATTTGCTGTCATAAATCATTTGTGCGCTTTTTTTTATTACTACTTCGCTCGTGAGAGGAGCATAGGGATGGTGCACGATATCATAATAACCATGAACCAATTTCTACATCATTAAGTTTACGAGGTAGGTGACAAGCCTACCGTTTATGAGCTTATTCAACTATTTCTCGAATTATCGTTGGAAGGAGTGGACGAACAGAAGGACAGACAGACGGTTATAAAAATTACAAATGATATTACAGCTATTCAAACTAAAAATATGTAAGTAATTCAGTTTCATGCTTTTAACTAACTTTTAAGTGTTTCATAAAATATTATGATTATACCACCAAAGTTTATGCAGCAGTATAATTGTACAGTTATAGTGGTAATTGTACAGTTTATACTGTTGTATAAACTGATCTTAAATAATAATATGTATAAAACATTCATAATGCATGTATACATTCATCTCTCTGACACAATAGTATTATAGTATTACATACTTAGAATGTATCAGATAGATACATAGAACGTACATCTAAAACAAAATTTATTTATTACAACATACCGGTAGCTGAAAAAAAGCTGGTAAGAAATTGTGGATTTCTAGACGAAAATCGAATACTGCGAGATAGAAATTGTAATTGACACGCGTAATATGTATATTAGAAAAAGAATGCTGGAAACTGTCAGCTGAAGCAGTCCAGCTTCAATCACAAGAAATGCAAAGATTCAACAAATCTATTTGATAAAGATGCTATTGGAAATCGGGATTGATAACCTGAAAATATATTTAAAAATAATAAATTGAATTTTAATGCTAATAATAAAAATTTTAGGAATTATAATAACAAATTTGTGGCCAAATAACCAAATGAATATTCAAGAGGACAACAATAACCACAACAGCAGAAATGGAGCAGAATTTATAAAAGATTGTAAAAAAATCATCCTATCATACAATGCCCGGCATATGGAAAAAAAATGGGGAAGCTGTGGAAAGCTGAATCACTTTGCCGTAGCATGTTATATGACAAAGTTAAGTAAATTGAAAATTTGTAATAAAAATTTTTATATTGATATAGAATTAAAAGGAATATGAATAGTGATATCCATATGTTAAATAAAAATAAAGGCATGGTGTAAACAAATTAGGATTTAAAATATTCTTACTAAATTTAAATTAGATAGAGGTGCCCAAATGAATATTTTGCCATACAATATTGTGAAAAGGTTAAAAAATGTAAAATTAATTGATTATGCAGTTACTTTAGAAGCATATGGTAGAACAAAAATAGAAACACACAAATAAATTCCGAAATCCCTTCCAATTAAACCCCATATAAATTTGGAATTTATTTTTGATTTGCTCTCTGAGCTTGATGGCCTGATAGATTTATATGGCATTAGTCAATACATAAAAATGCACACATAAAAATGCTTTTTTTTTAAGGGAAGTTTCAATTTTTCAGTTTTTCAAAAAGAATATTGGTTCAAGCCAGAAATTATAATTTTACTATTTGGTTTTTGTACCTACGTACTTGAATATTTTCATATATTTTGTAAATCTCAGTATATTTTTTTTAAAACTGAAAAATAGAAAAATAAGATGTTTTTTGACGTTTAGTAGATATACTAGTTTTCGAGCTACCGCCTGTTGAAAAAACGTACCGGACTTTTTCGAAGTTATAAATGCTTATAACTTCGGAACAATACAACATAAAATTATCATTGAGAGCTTGTTAATTGATTGTTCTTTATTTTTTTATGTTATTTATAATTTTATACTTTATTGGTCTTACAATTAATTTGATTTGAGACATAGTTTTCGAGGTACTGCTCGTTAAACTCTAAATTTTCGTCTTTTTGTTTTGAAATTTTTTTTACAAAACTCGAAGTTTTCGAAAATTTTTGTTATTATTTTTTTTTTCGATGCGCCACGATGAGATTTAAATTATAGCCCATATAACATTTTTCTCTATCTCTAACCGTTTTTCCAGTAAGAGGTGATAAGTTGAACAAAATTTATTCATATATTCAAGCAATAACTACTAACGATTGGTTCAGGCCTATATTATTTTTTGTAAAAATTTATTATGAAGAATTTGTCCGGCATATAAAACAGGTTGATTTAAAGGTCAATAAGTTTTCATCCAAAGTACTGAAAATCAATAATAACTTTTAATAAAGATATTAAAATAAGCTTAACCTATAAATAAACATAAAATTTATATGTATGTGTATATGTTGAACACTTGTATTATAAAGAAGTATGTACATAGAATGGATTTGAAAATGATCTAATGACATATTGTCATTACAATGTTCTATTAATATATAATAAATTTTTTGTTGTGTAATTGTTAAAAATTAACGATCTCGATAGTTAAATCAAATTGAAATGGGATTGCAATAAGTTTAATTATTTTAAATCTGTTGTACAATATTAAATTTTTAAATTAAAAGTTTCATTAATTTCCATATTCCTCCATAGGAAGATTATTAGGAAAATAATTTTACGCAATTCTGTTGTTGTGTTTAAAATAAATAAAAATTAATGATTAAAACTTAAAAAAATATTTATTTAAATCTGACAATTTAATTATTATGACAAAGAATTTTCTTTTTTGTGGCGGTAATTTTTCATGAAAATTAATTGAATTCATTTTGTTAAACTCATAATACATTATAATAACACTGTCAATATCATAATTATTATTATAAAATTACTTGTTTCCTGGATTATGAATGACATTTTGGATTTATGAAGCTTTTTTTTAATTTTTAATGTTTTAATAAGCAATGCAAGAGTTAAGATAAAACTCAGTAGAAGATAATTCTTAATTAAAATTTATTAAAAAATTACTACTCATTAGTCATAATGCTTTGAGACGAAATATTGACGTATCGTTGAATAAAAATTTAATGTTAGATTTAAAAAGTGTTACATAACATTTGAAATTTTGAAATTGAGGATGTGCAAATTTGTAAGTATTTAATCGTATTTCTCTTACATTCATAGTGTTTTATCGATAATATGAAAAAAAAATAAATGCCAAGCCCTATTGACGAAATATTTTTATTGGGAATATTAGTGTGTAGCAGATATCATCGCAATTGACTGAAAATTTACATAAATTTATACATATATATAAATATAATAAGATTATTGTAATTTGTACAATTTAAAGTCCTGAAAGATTTGTTATTGTATAAATCGATGAAAATGTTATTGAAAGTTAATGTTGACCATTCGTCCAAAATATTTCTCCTATATTTATACAGACTAAATTTTTATATAATATAAATATTGTATTATATGAATCTAAAAATTGATGCGGTGGGTGCAATACATGTTCAACGTAAGTGTGCATCTAGTTATGTAACAGGTTCACTTACCTGAATACTGTATATAATTTTTTCAATCATACTTTGTAAGAAACGGAAAACTACTGTACGAACACTCTTCAAAGCTATAAAATTTTCGTAAGGAAAAAAAAAGAATGGAATGGGGCTTTTAGGAACAGAGCTAAGCAGAGATGAATAAAGTTGGGTCAAACCAATGGTTTGTATTGTAGTACTTTGCCCTTCAACAAGTGAAAATACTACTTCTAAATACAGTTATTATACCTACCACACTATTAAAATTATGTTCTACCACACTATTAAATTATAAGAAACTACTTCTAGGATTGCATAAATTTCGGATGAACGATTTATGCAGTCTTTGAAATAAAGCAAAAATTAATTGAGAGAGGGGTTAAGATAATGCCCGATTTTAAGGGTTAATGGCGTGAGTTAAGAAAAATAATTGTTTTTTAATGTTTAAGGAATTTACTGTTAACTTTTTCCGTTCATAGAAATTTGAAAAGCGTCCAGTTTCGGAAATATAAGACGTCAAAAATTTAAATTTTACGAATTTCAAGAGACGATAACTTGAGAGGGGAGAGAGATGGAAAAAAATTTTCTTATAACGAAATAAACTTTTTACCAGTGTCTAAAAGCTGGTAAAATTTCAAGCTCTCACAACCTGTGGTCTAAAAGAAAAACGACATCGAAAATTGGGAAAAAACGGATTTTAGTAAACGGTAAATTTTAATAGCCATTTTGTTTTTTTAAGTTTAGTTATAGTATGCCGCAACAGGAGAAGCAAGCCACTAACTTTCTGCGTTTGCAAAATTTGATAAATAGTTAAATAAATAGTTGAAAAATGGAATTTTTAGGGTTTTAGAGGGGAATAACTTGTAGAAGGTGGGAGATAGGTAAACATTTTCTTCTACTGAAATAAGTTTTTAGTAAAGATTCACGTATGTATAAAATTTCAACTTTCTATTTTCAAGGGTGTAGAAGTTTTGTAAACATGTCCACGGACGGAAAGAGTTTCATGCTGTTGTTTCATGATATCTCATTGTTATTGTAGAGGATGCTGAAATTACAGTAAATTTGATTATACTGCAACAGATTTTTTTCTTGTTATAGGTTTTAATTTATAAATTTTATAGACTAATTAACCCAAAATTACCTATTGCAACCGGTTATACTTTCACTTATTAATCCAATCAAAATAATATAGAATTAAACGCTTCTTCGAAAATTCACTTTGACATCCAAAAGTTTTGAATATAAATTAAATTTTTTTAAAGCGTTGGTCTAAATTTCTATAACCTTTAAAATTGCGGTAATTGAAAAACTTTTAAAATTTATAAATGCACCTTTCTTATTTGATCGATAGGTGAAATTTTTACTTGACCGTATGAAATTTATGAAATTTATAGTACAAAAATACCGACATCTGTTGGAGTTGATAAACTATTTTTTCTATGTTATATGTTTAATATAGAGATAACGTTACGTAATTCAACGATAACAAATATATCATAAAATTGAAAAATAAATAAAGGCTTAATAAAGGTTCAAGGAAAATTTAAGTATAGAGTACAGAGATCTCTTTGATTAACTTAAAATCCAATCAGAACTTGGTTATCTTCCATTTTACTGTTTCGTCCTCAATTTTACCTCACTTTATTCTTCTATAAAAATGGGCTTTCAAAGATTATTTATTAAAATTTGATGAACGTACGGTACATTACACAAATGTAAGTGGGATTTTTCTTAAATAATAAATGTTTTAGTTGCAAAAAATTTTTTTTTTTAGGTTTTTAGGTTAACACAAAGAAAATAGGATGGGTGGATAAAATCTGCGACATAACAGCAAGTGAACGAGTAGGAGGGGTTAAAAAAGGAAATAGAATTAAATTTTTTTATGTAACAAATATTGTGATATTGTGAAAGGATATGTTTCTGAAGTTTTTATGTTGATAGGACTTTTTTTTTTTGAAAATAATAAAAAGAGGAATAGTAGTGAGTCAGGAGGAGGGCAACAAAAAAAGAAGATAAAATAAAGCAGATTTTCTGGAAACTTTTTCTATTTTCCTTTTTCAATAAAAATGTTTTTGAATGTTATCAAGATTAAAGACCAAAAGCAATAAAATGAAAATGTGAAAATTTTAAGGGTTGTTCTCAACTTTTTTGTATATATTCAAATTATGTACATTGTACATCTGGTCGGCGATTACCTTTTTTAAAGGTAACCAATTATAATTATATTGCATAACGTAAACTTGTTTTGGTGCAAAAATATATTTTTATCAGCCCTATCAAAATTATTTTGGAA